TTTGATATTTTTAGTATATTTTTCTTTAATACTAGGGTTTTGACAAACATGTTATCTTGTGCAGGATCCTCATCCCTTGCCGTATCTAGCAGAAACCAAGCATATGAACTATGACATTCCGATGGAGGTACATTTTATCTTCTCTGTTTTCTCTTCTTCTTTTTTTTTGGTCGAGGTAACATTTCTTTATTTAGTTAGTAACTGATGTGATATTATTCCATGTATTGATCTCCTACCTTTTTTGACAAGGTTTGGATCAAACCCGCAGGGGAGCAGCAACTGTCTCTCGTCACAAAGAGTAACTTCAATCATATGTAATTGTCTACACTACTTGCAGATGTCTGTTACGTTCTGGTCATCATCTTGTCAGTCTTGTTCCTGTCCCATTTTTGTCCAAGTAAATGAAAACAAGAGCTACAACATTCATTTTCGTTCAAAGAAAATCTGTCAGTGTTTCCTTACCATATCTATTTCTCTATCTACATTCTGGATGGCTACTTTGTACTTGATACATTTAGTCCATATCTTCATCCATATTCTTTTTTTGTTTTGTGTTAGTAACTGACTGTGAAATATGTGATAAGTTTACGCTAAAATTTGAGCAGCACAGCATCATGTCTAATAAAGAACAAGGCCTGAAAGTTGCTTAAGCATTATATTTAGAATCTATTGTTCACCTTTTGAGATCTATGTTAATTATGCATGCTCCATTGTCTTGTAATGTTTTATGATTGCAACTATTCTGCTCAGCAGTCAGCCATGTATTTTTGATATAAAGGTCTGTGAATTTTAGGGTTTCTTAATTAATAATTTGTCATATTAACGTTAATTCATTCCTTTCAGATGTAGCAAGTGTGCTGACGAAAGTAACTGAATCATATTAATTAATTCATTTCTTTAAGAGTGCACTGGTTTGAATTCCTTTCTTTCTTTTTATTTCCTGTCTTATTTGTTTTGTTCTCGTTAAAATAGGAACTAAATTTGTCACTTTGCCAGTTCTTTTTATCTTTCTTCTTCCACAACCAAATTACTTTTGCAAAAGTATAATCTTTGACTGATACAGAATTTTGAATTTATATTATGTTGAGCAGATATTGGACAATAACGCAACAGCTAGCACATCACACTGTCAATGGATGCAACTTAAGGCCTGGTGATCTGCTGGGAACTGGGACTATCAGTGGACCTGTGTGTAAAAGGCCCTGAATCCTGATATAAAATAGAAATTACTCGTTCTCTCTTCTTTTTTTTGTCATTTTATGATAATTACTGCGAGCAGAAGGAACTCCGCTTTTCTTCTTTATTTGAGATGTTTATGACAAAAATGCTTTTACAGGATCCAGAATCATTTGGATGCTTCACAGAGCTTTCGCGGAATGGTCAAAAGCCACTTACCTTAACTAACGGTTCAGAACGTAAATTCTTAGAAGATGGTGATGAAGTCATTCTGACTGCATGTTGCAAGGTAATATTCATCTAACGCTTTCTGTCCCCTAATATACTTAGCTGCTGTATATCTTTTATCATACTTTCTTTCAGCATCTTGAGAGCTTTCATGTGGGACTTTGGCAGTTTATATGATTTGCGGTGTTGTAGTTGTGTTTTTCTTTTCCCTTAAGAAGCCAAATTGACCCTTGTAAAATGCATTCTTATGATTGACTGCAAGTCTAATTTTATTTATATGATGTTACTGAGGTAAATGCACTACTATTCACCGTCTTCCCTGATTCATTTGTTTTGTTAATGAAGCTAAATGCCTGTTTGGAAACTGCAGTTAAACTGGTTTAGTGGAACAAAACCAGTTTAAGTGCTTCTCCTAGTTTGGAACTAAACTGGTTTATCTCCATTTTGCCAAACTGACCATAATACCAACATATACATTTGTTTCTCAATTTCAAAACTGACACTTCGTGAAATTTGCAGGGTAAAGGCTACAATGTAGGTTTTGGAACATGTACCGGAAAAGTCCTACCGGCCACTCCGTAAGATAAACATGATAGAATTCTAGTTTCATGTACCTTTCAGAGTTCGCGGTACTTGGAAGTTTGTTGTATCAACAGACCAGAAATAAAACGCACGTTATGTTACTGCTTTTAGTCTATTTGGATGAGAGGTGATTAGAACGGTGATATGATAATGATGGTGTAATAGGCTAGCCACTGTGGTTTGGAGTTGATCTTTCCAAAGAGAGTAAATTTGAGGTTTCAAAGTGGTTATGCGCTCTCTTAGTTTCTCCGTAGTTTCCAAAATTCAGACTTGTTCTTGCGATGGCAACAACATAGATCGCATTTCCAGTTCTGGCCGCGCGTCACCTCTCGGATGAAACATTTAACAAAGTCTAATCAGCATTTGGATTTGAAGTCCCAACATTCATTAACATATACCAGAACGACCTGCAATAAGAAGTAAGGTATCCAGTACGGGATCTGAATTTTCACTTTTTTTGTATGCATTTATCATATTACCGCGAAGCAGAAATTATGTCAGTAATTATTTCAAACGCAGCAAAAATGCCAACATCATAAATACTTCATAATAGGAACAGCCGACAAATAGAATTGAAATTGGTGCATCTCCAATCACTTAACTCACAGGACAAAATAACACCATCACCATCTAATGAATTTTTAACTATTAAAAAAAAGCAAAAACTCATTTTGGAGCTTGACATCACAATTTAGGAGATAAAGCTTTATTGCAAGTAACAGAAATTCAACCCACTATCATCATCTAACAAAAAAATATGTGCATAGTCATAATTCTCAGGGCGCAGTATTTGCAATCAGGAGTCCTATGGAACTTCAGGGCTTAATATAGGGGGAAAAATTAATTCCAATAGCAAAAACACCAGTTTACTTAGGATCTTGCTTGAGTGAATTTCGGTTACTTTTCCCATACAGCCCGATACAGCCCAAGGCATTTCGTACAAAACTCAACTCAGGTTTCATAAAGAAACACACATATATGATAAACTCGATTTCTCCTACATATTCTTTCAAAACACCGTCTTCCGCCTGTCGTGAACTCTGAGCAGCTCTCCTCACACAAATCCCTGGTTTTTTTACAACAGTAATTAATGATGAAAAGCATCGGCAATACAACAATTAAGGGAAAATTGCCAGCAAACCAATCAATCTAAACGCACTCCACAGCCAGAAGAACTTCTTAACCTTTTCATAGTTGCATGCCGAAGGATTTGAATGCATTTGGCTCACCGCATCATAGAAAATCTGATGAGCTAGCTTGCCAAAATTCACATAAAGGATGGTGATGAACACCACAATTGAACTAGAGGAAATAATCAGGTGCTGGTTTCTTGGAAGGAACCCCTCTTGACTCCTGCAATAAATTCCAGGTTATACAATTAAGTTATCAGAGCAAGCATAATGAGAGCAGTAACTGAGTGGTGGATACAAACATGTGGTGCTGCTTCGAAAACACGGAATTGCTTGTTGAGGTTTTCATCCAGCTCAAGGATAGCAGCTACATTACCACATCTGGCATAAATAGAAAAAGAAAAATAGCTCAAGATGAAACTAGAATTATTATAGATTGCAGAAACCATCATCATCAAGTCATTGTTCAATAACACAGCGGGGACCAACTTCTAGACATCCACAGAGTGACTGAAGAATTCTGTCATGTCATTTGGACAATTCAAATTTGTGATTCATTAAAATTGGGACACCAAAGGGAGAAAGCCTCCTGAGTTTCCTGTAAGTTTGGTTAAGCCGCAGCTACTCAAGACAGTTTGGTGAAGTTGTGCTACTTTGAACATGCTACTTCTGAAAGATAATCCAAGGAAAACCATATCCTTTCATGTTATCTATTATATCACTGACAGAAATTCCACGCGCAAAAATGCTGTTTCTTTATCTAATATGGTGCGTCAACATGTGTGTAAACAGAAAGTAGATGTACAACCACAGAAACTGATTTCACACCACATATCCATAAAATAATTATATCTCATATGTATTATATTAGACTATAAGTGCGCCCATACAATTATAGGATTTAAGTAAATAATATGAATAGATGGATCCATCACATATAAGACAAAATAAAATTATCTGTGATGATACACATCTATTAAGACCAGAACGGCTAAATAGCACAAAATTTAAAAGAAATATTTTTGAGTTATGTAAATCGACAGTAATACGAAGTCACATTCCTTAATAAAAAGATGGAAAAAAATGCAACTAAAATCAAACAGAATTTAAAATCATATTCCAGCACTAGACATATTAACCCCTTAACATATGATGCATATATGATATGTATAACAAAAATTTTCAGTTACTCAGAAAGTTTGAAGGTCTGATATGTAGCCAGCTAGTTCCTGTTAATGTGCTACCAAAAGTTATCTAATATTATTGATAACATGCATGGCACATTTGTATGCATGCATTTATACATGAATGCACTTATACATGTCTATGACTGTCACTAGCACCAAACTTTGCTATTATTTACATTGGTATTAAATAATGTTCGAATTTATGCCATTGTGTTCCCATGTATCTTTTAAGGAATTGGCATCACCATTACATATCGTATCTATTTCCTGCAGCCATGCACATGCTCCTAGATGACTAACAGCCTAATGAATGCAACACATCACATGTAGAGAACTTCTCCCAACAAAAAGTAGTATGTCCAATTCACCTGAATACAACACGTGTGTTCATCTGTATCCAATACCCACAAGTTCTAGTTTATTGTTCCATGAAAAAAGTATACATAAGAAAGAGAATGGTGCATCCCTTTACTGAAATTAGGTTCTTCAATACATGTGAGTGGCAAAACAAATATACATATCTATACGAGTTAAAAACACAAATATTCAGGTACATATATAGCCATGTCCTAGTGTCTGGATTTTTGGCAAATTTTCATATCCGATGTCCCATGCTTGTTCGGAGAATGACACTCAACTGTGCATGTACTAATCATAGGATATAACCATAATGGGCGAATATAACACCTGAATTCAACCAGCTTTCACTCAGCATGCTTACAAATGAGTCAATTCTTTTATTAGCATTGTGTATATATCTTGATATCAACATGAAATGCAGGGCTACTAGTATATGTATACTCCAAAAAAGGCCAAAATGAATCTCGGATTTTGTACTCTATGATCATTAGTTTACAAGTACCTGTAACAGTAATTTGGTGCAGACCAGACAGTTACGATCTGGTTATTGAACATCCATTTGTATCCTTCCATTACAAGTTGATGTGCACGGCATATGTAATCGATGCTATTTGTGTGGTTGAAAGAGGTAACAACATTCCCACCAAATAGAAAGCCTGCACCTCGAGGACTCAACCCCCAACCATCAACCACATCTTCTGGGTCTGACCATAACAAGTCACACATGGCTCCATCATGAGGCACTTCTTGCTTTCGGTCTATTGTTCTAATCTGTTGACAGAACAAATTGTCATCAGGGAAAGGCTTAAATGGGAGAGTGAAAAAAAAGGCAAGGAAGAATAAGGCCGATCAAGAAAAACAGGACTAACCTGATCCAATGATGTGATGGCCGGGGATAGACCTCCATGAACACAAAAAATCTTGTTTTCAATTAGTGCTGATAGACTGTAATTACAATAAGAGAAAATTATATTCAAACTTAGGCCCCAATGCCTCCAAGCAATGAGATGGGGTTGAATCGGTGGGTAAAGGTGAACGTTAGAAAAATAATACAAAGAAAAGAAAAAAGAACATGATACATACAATGAAACGAAGGCAAGTTACCTTAAATAATCAAATATATCCGTGCAATATCTCCATACGTTGACAGACCCATATTTACGCAGACACTCGTCATAGAATCCAT